CAGCAATCATTTCTTTGGTAACCTTAAATGTTATCAAACAGTAATATTTGCCTTGTAACATCCTCAGTCGGGCCCTTGTGCCAGTAGTGAGAGAGAGTATATCACCTGGCAGAGGGGGTTGGCAGGCCTGAGGTCTTACTGTCTCAGACAGGAGTAATAACCTTCTCCCTAATGAAGTAAGAAAAAATCCGCATTCATAACAATTTCCATAACAATCTGATTCATAAGACAGTACCAGAATTAAGTCCAGTGAATATGTAACCAGTGAAATAATGAAACCAACAACAAAATATGAGGTGAGAGGTGGAAAGAATCATGCAACGTGGCAGTCTAACTGCTGAATCGAATAGGTACAGTTGATTCAAGAGCATCATATTCAGTTTCCAATGCTCAGGTTGCAGTAAGAAAAATACAAAGCTTTTTTTTTTATTTTTAAATTTATATACTTTTCTTAGTCTCCAAAAAGTAAAGGAAAAATTCTTGACCTTGTTTTCATCAATAGTTGCATGTTTAAGGGTTAAGTGGCAAACAGTAACCATGTACAATATTTTGCATGGAGTGCACTATGCACAGGGATGTTGTTTTAGAATTATCTTCTACTTCTGTCATTCCTTCCATTAATCTCACTTTTATCTCAGCAATGAATAAAGACTGTTATTCTATTCTTGATTTTTCCTGATTTTTTTTTGTTTGGACAGTTGATTTTCTGATTTTTATTTGTTACATTTTTACTTTGATTTTAATGCAAATTAAATTCTTGTAAACTCTCAACCTTCTACTTCTGTTGCATTGAATTTGTTTGATCTTAAGAGATGAAACTGATTGACAGTGGGATTTTGGGTGGTGGGTAGAGAGAGTCTTTGACCACCAAGAAAATACCGTACGGTATCAACTTTCCTTGGCAGCCCCGAAATGCTCTGTTTTTATAAAAATGTTTGAGTGCAAACAGAAATAAGTTTGTGCACACAGCAATCTTCTGCATATGAAAACTACATAAATGTTATAAATAACCACCTGCCAAACAGTCAATGTTGGCTGTTAATGGAGACAGTCATGCCTTTCAATATGTAGAATGTATTCCTCTTGAAGCAAAGAAGCTGAGAGCACATTTAGGAGGAAAATTGACCTAAGTGATAGTTTAGTTATAAATTTCATGTTTATTATAAAACAGTGAAGATCAGTGCAATGATTGGTAGAGGATGTCCAAAGCATTCGTAAATTGGCTTTTATTGGTACTTGCAGGTGCCCAGTGAGATTGCTCTTGTCAAACAGAAAGCACAGATACACTATTACCCCATTCATGATCAGATTCGATTAATTTGTTGGTCTACCTAAATATCACAAACTCAACACAATCCAAAATCACTGACTCTTCTCATTCTATTACCTCCTCCCTACCTGCTTCATTAACCCTCTCGTGGTTTTTTGACGCAAATTGCGTCGTTAAGAGGGACCCCTCCCGCTCAGCCATATTTCACACTGACAGTACCCCTCCCATAAGCAGAAACATAGGAACAGTGGACCAGCCCTATCAACCACCTAGTAAGTTCCTCCCACTAGCCACATGGGCTGGCATAAGTGTCTCTAAGGGTGTAATTTGGATTGCCCTACCCAACGTTTACTAAAGTTGAAAACCAGTCCTGTTACCGACACAATCTGCATCGAAAGACTGCGAGGAGGTGAGATTTCCAACCATGGCCAAGAGTACCAGAAGGTTAACTCGTCAGCGCATTAATAAGGTATGGGATTTTTCAATTTTTTCACTGTGAATAAACATGAGAATTTGCTTCATAATAATTGCACCATTATCAAGAGGCAGACAGTGAGTGTTGGATCAATAACATTAAAATACTCTACATGTGATGAATACCCTGTACTGGTTTGCAAAGTGTCAGGAAAAATTATATGAGTAACCTTAATATTACAAATAATCATGAAAGTTTAATACACTGCCAGATGAAAAGCCTACAATGTTTCAACTAATATATCTACACAATATGATGTAGTGAATATGAAATGACAGTGGAATAGTTCATATATATAAATTTCCAGAGGAAACTTCATAGATAAGCACGGAGATTTTCAGTGTAGAGCTTCAGCGAGAAAGATCATGGCATTACAACTCATACACACTTACAGTGAAAAGACAGGGAGGTTTTGTGTCAACATGGTTTTTCTTACCAGACTAAGGTAGGAAGTATGAATATTGGTGTTCAGTAATTAGGAATGGATGGCAGCTCGAGTTTTTTTTATGCACACAGTTCAATTGTGTTAAGAGAATTATGAAACAATTGGGAAAGGTATGTGAGAAAACTATTGTGAATGTACAGGAATAATTAAATGAGGTAACAAAAGAGCAAAAAACTGGCATTGATTTTAGATAATAGAACAGAATATGGTGTAGCTTGAAATTACAAAGACACTATACTACACATGGTAAAACTCCCCTAAGGTGTTACCCTGTGAAACAGAGAGATGGCCATGAGGACACAGGGTTTAAGATCTCTGAAGAAAGAAGCACAAAGTTTGAGTATCATTGACTAGTGGCACAAATAGAATCATCAGCCCTCAGAAGAGTATATCTTAAGTCACCAGGATGCTGACATGTAATAACTAGTACAGCCATACTACCAAATATGAGTAACATAAAGACCAGTATAGAAATGAGAGATACAGGATATAATGTGTATCTAGTGGCTGAGGTAGAATAAGAAATATTACAACAAGAATGTGTAAACTGTAAATTTTGCCATCTAGTCCTTTTTTGTTACCACATCACTGTTCCTTTAACTTACTTCATAAAAGGTAAGAGTCACACGAAGAGAAATGATTATTAAGGTCTGACAATGAAGACAATATGCTGGCACTTTAATGATTTTTTTGTCAATCATTTTATTTTTTCTTAAGTCTATGCAATCATGTTGAGTCACTGATAATATGAATAACGTGCTGCTGAATAATCTACAAGTTTGCATATTAGTTACAAATAACTTACAATAAATAGGGCCACAAGTAAAAAATCTTTATTTTCACTTTCTCAGTGACCCCAAGAAAACTAAGGACCTTGAAGGTTTTTAAAAGGCAAAAAAGTTTATCACTCCTGGATTGGTACATCCCGTCTAACTTTACATATTTGGACATTTATATTTGAACTTCAGTTGAAGGAAGTAATGCAATAACATGATAGACATAATGAAGAAAGAAAGTAAAGAAAGAAAAAACACATTGTAACTACCCATCATTCTTAATTGGCCTCTGAAGTAGAAACAATTATTTTTTCTTGGCTAAGTAAAATTTTCATAATTTTCATAAAAATAAATAAAAAGTTTGTCAAAGTAAAGTATATTCCAAGAAACTTGACATCATGCAGTAAATGCCAACAAGAGCTAACTATATAACTACTAAATCATATTAATTTTTCATAATATTCCAAATGTCAACTGAAGTTCACTACAGTTAGCAACGAAGTGATTTTCTTTTTTTCTTTTTTTTGAGCCACCGTCACTCATTTGTGAGAAAAAAATTACCTGACAGACAATTCAGTTTTGGTGGCTGATGTTATCTCAGTTGCATACAGAAGTCATCTTAAAGATGTACTTCTTGCAGTAAATGTATCACAGTTTATATAAATATCATTAATCCCAAATTTTAAGGAAGATTCTGCATGGGCTGCTCTAAGCCAGGCTGGATATACCAATGAACACGAATATAAATTCTAATAAAATAACTTCATTCAATTCTTATACTCACAAGTCACACTATAGTCACACATATTCCCCAAGGATTGAGATGACACAGGCTGTTATATCCAACAACCATGATAAAAGACAAGAAATACAGGGTTTTTGTTAAAATTCTAAATAACCGGGAGTTTAGCCCAAGATGTCTGACCTTAAACTGTTGGAAAACCTATGAGAAATTTTCCAAAAAATTAAGTTGTAAGTTTTTGTTTAATATACTTTTGTTTTTTCATAACTTTTGATGAAGTCCATGTAAAAATATATATATATATATATATATATATATAATATATATATATATATATATATATATATATATATATATATATATATATATATATATATATATATATATATATATATATATATATATATATATTTCAATTTGTTTACAAACCTGGTAATATCATTCACAATGAGTAGAGAGACTGGGGTACATCCCTGGGCTCCGGCTGTACACAAAAAACCTGTAATTTAGCACAAGACTTACAATCACTAATTAGTCTTAAATTTAACCCTGGCTCCTTATATAAACACAAAATCAAATGCATGGGACTACTACAAAGCTGAAGGCCTATTACTGTTGTAAAACTTGTTACTGGTAAGACACGGGTTGATTGTTTGGTTATCACAAAACTCTTCATTGGCCAGTTACAATACAGGGGAAGAAAAGGCCAGTTTTCTCTCATATATTGCTAAGTCATTGTGTCTTTCTTATGAATGCTTAACTCTAAGTCAAGACAGCCCCTAGATATATGTTTTGGCTCATCTAGTTAACTCAAGTCATGATAGGCCCTAGATATATTTGTTTTGGCTTAACTAGTAAACTTATTTTCCAGTGACAGTAATTCAGGAAATTGTTACTTATGCAAGCATTACTCTAAAGTAACAGAAACTAAATATTAAGTCCAAATTAACTTGGTATAACTTTTGAAACGCATAAGCAACATCAGCAGCCTTAACTAATGACGATGGAGGTGACTATGTACATATTGCTGAGATTACCGATAATCATCTGTGTAAACTTTGGTGAAGCGACCTTGTCATTGATACCTAACAAATCAATGCACTACACTAACTGCAATCAAAGTACCTGTACAGTTCAAAATAACATAAGATTATGTGGAAATGCCTGTTTTATATATATATATATATATATATATATATATATATATATATATATATATATATATATATATATATATATATATATATATATATATATATATATATATATATATATATATATATATATGTGTGTGTATATATATATATACACAAGTATATATATTAAGTGCATACATTCCTAGTATATCTCAAATCAATTACTGAGACAAACTTGCATTGCCAATACAGTTGCCACTTAAAGTTGACTTGATATCGACGTGACTATAAATGCACACTTGAAAACGGCAATGTTTTCTACTGAAGGATGAAGTGTTAGGATGAGGAGGATGAATCTGAGTTGTCATCCTTGGACCTGCATTTTAGTGACTCCAGGTATTCCTGTTGGCTGGCTGCGAGCACCTGGGCTAGTATGTCGGCTTCTGCACTCGAGTATTCGGTTAGTCCTGAAAGAAGGGAGTTAATTAGATATCAATTCATCACACAGACATTCAGCGATCCTCTGTTTGACTTTAGGCAACTTCTGATACTTATACTGTTGACTTTTTAGCAAAGTGAATCAGATGAGTGACCAGGAGAATTTTCTTTCTCAAAGGTAATAAATTAGCAAACTCTTCACTCCCTTATTAACCTTATTCTATTCTCAACTGAATATGATAGAACCAGAAAATGAGCTCCACAAGACACAGTACTAAATGAATTATATAAACTGTTATTCTAAGAGCTTTAATTTCTCATAATAATTCAGAAATATTTGAATAGGAATTTGAAGTATATAAGGTAGCTCACTTTGTACAGTTGTGGACAAAAAGAATTATTAGGCAGGTGCAGCTTACACTCCCTCCCCACCAAAGTCTTTTTGTCCACAACTGTACATTTGGTACATACACAAAATGAAATAGAACTGATACCTCCAGACCTGTGAATATTAAATAGTTACTAATATTACTCCACATACAATAATAATAACCTAGGCACAGAGCCAAGAGACACGTTTCACATGTATATATGCATCTAAATTCTTCAAGACTTTCCCCATATCTATGCTGGGTAGGGCTTACATAAACTTTGAAATAAACAACCTATAAACCATATCTGCATATTTAGTCTCGCTGCTGAAAGACTTAAAAAAAGAAACAAGAACATACGAAGAAATGAACTGAAGTTGACCTACTGGCCCATGTGAGGCAGCTCCTGTTTACATCCAACCATTATCATTTATGTATCTGTCCAATTTATGTTAGAAACTTCCTAACAAGTTCAAGTTCATGATGGTATTTGGTAACATGTTGCACTTTTCCATAATTATATTTTTGAGCCAATGCTTAGCCAATTTCCTCCTAAATCTACATTTCTCCAATTTAAAACCATTGTTAGGAGTTTGCTCCTGATTTGATAATTTAAGCACCTTATTTATACAACTTTTATTTAACCCCATCTACCACTTATACACTTAAGTCATATTGCCCCTCGTTCTACATTTCTCAAAAGAATACAACCAAAGTTTTTTTTATGTCTCTCTACAGAAGGTTTGTAATGTCTAGATTAACTTTGTCATCCTTCTCTGAATGATTTCAAGGAAATTTATATCCATTCTATAGTCCAGAATTGTAAAATAATTCTCCTGCTCTGGTTATTAATGCATATAGATGTAAGCCCAATTACTGTTAGCTTTATTACAAAAACATTACTGGCTAGGCTTCAAGTCCCTACAGTACTTATCAGTACCCATAAATATCCCTTACATATTCAAAAGGTTCTTCAATAATCATGCAATTAAGAGATGTGCTCAATTTGTTGTTGACTTACCAAATATATTAGGAGGAAGGTGGTTTAAGAAAGATGCACGTTCATTAACGGTGAATTCCCCTATAGATGAATACCCTGAGGAGGAAGGTATTGGGTCTTTTGAAGAGCCTGGAACTGCCGGATCATGATCAGGCTTAGAACTTGCGTCTTTTGAGCTGGATGACCCACGGGGTGAGGTTGAACCTCTCGGTGATGTGGAGCCACGAGGTGAAGTAGAACCACGGGGTGAAGTAGAACCACGAGGAGAAGTAGAACCACGAGGTGATGTGGAATTGCGAGGTGAAAGCCTGGCCAGCTCGGTGGAGCACTGGGAGGAACGAGGAGTGCTACGAGATGTTTCTGAGGATCCCTCAGCTTGGGAGGCCTGATGGAGTGGTGAGGTACGCCCTCGAGGACAGCGGTCGCTGGAGCTGGAGCCAGAGGGTGATGAGGGGGATCGCTACAGAGAGAGAGAGAGAGGAGAATGATAATTTAACTCCAATGTAATCAAACCTAAAATTAAAAATATAAATAAATTAATAAATAAAATAAATTATATAAAGTGTAAAAAAAATACTCTGTACTAACCATATACTGTTTGCTGTCTGTAGCTTGTGTCATGTATGTTAAAGCTAAAATCAGATGATATATAATGATAAAAGAATAATTTTCACAGGCAGCTATCCAATATTAATATTACAGAAATTACAAAACATACACTAATTCTAAGATGAAGATGGGAAGATGGTAAAAACTGCATGAGAAGGTTAATAATGCGAGAGAAAATCAAAGTACAAATAAATGATGACGTTGATCAAACAGTGATAATGTGTTTACTGTACTTGTCATGCGTTGAATGACTGAAAAGAAGTTCAAGAAAGAGTGATGTGGCAAACAAAAGCACCAGAGTTTATATACAAAATGTGCAGAAACTTCAATAATGCTAATATACCACATAAATGGATGGATACAATATTCACCTTTCTATATATAAGGTACTCCTCGACTAACGACCACCCAGATATACGACCGCCGCAGTTGTACAAAAATTTTTTCAAATTCAGTACGTATTTTCTAGTACTGTACCGAAAAGTTTCCGTCCCGTACGACAGCGTGGCGTGAGCCGGGCCACCTCATGGTGTACAGCGCCCACGCCGTAGCGCGCTCAGTTGGTGGTTGTTGTCGTTAGTGATCGCACTGTGTACTGACAATATTTTCGTTTCCAATTCCCTTTAAAATGACTGGCAAGCATAAAAGTGAGAGTTCTGGTGGTGCTCAGAAGAAAAAGAGACAGTCTATTACTTTTGAGATGAAAATGAAAATAATAATGCAATATGAAAATGGAAAAAAGTAGTAACCATTTCACACGACCTAGGCTTCTCTCACTCGACAATATCAACAATTTTGAAGGACAAGGAACGAATTCATGAGGTAGTGAAAGCATCAGCACCTATAAAGGGAACAATAATAATGAAAAAAAGACAAGGTCCTCTTCATGAGATGGAAAAATTACTTATGATGTGGATGGAAGATCAGTTGCAAAAGAGTGTACCCTTAAGCCTTCTAACCATATAGGCTAAGGCAAGAAGCCTTTTCGAAACCCTGAAAGGGCAGGCAGGAGATGAGTCAAAACTTCACAACAAGTCGTGGGTGGTCCCAAAGGTTTAAGAACCATTACAGTTTGCACAGTGTAAAGGTGAGTGGAGAGGCAGCAAGTGCTGATGTGGGTGCTGCCAAAGCTTTTAAGGAGGAGCTAGATCGTGTCATCGTAGAGAGAAATTATTTGCCTGAGCAAAAATTTAATGTGGATGAAACTGGCTTATTCTGGAAGTGCATGCCAGAACGGACATACATCCACAAAGAGGAGAAAACCATGCCGGGATTCAAGGAATTCAAGAACCGAATCACACTTGGGGGAATGTAGCTGGTTTCAAGGTAAAACCCTTCATGATATATCATTGAGAGAACCCAAGGGCTTTTACAAATGTCAGCAAGCACACACTGCCAGTGTTTTATCGCAGTAATAAGAAAGCATGGATGACCCTAGCACTGTTTGAGGATTGGTCCCTGAGTTGTTTCAATCCACAAGCCAAAGAGTACACTGTATTGTCTGCAACAAGGGGTTGCGTTCAAGATTTTATTAATTTTAGAAAATGCTCCGGGACACCCACCACACCTGGGCAACCTGCACCCTGATGTCAAGGTAGTCTACATTCCACCTAACACTACCTTTATCATCCAACCCATGGATCAAGGTGCTATTGCTGCTTTTAAAGCATATTATTTACGTACGACCTTCACTCAGGCTGTTGCTGCTACTGAAGGTGAGAAAACGCTCAGAGAGTTTTGGAAGGACTACAACATTTTGAAATGTATAAAGAACATAGCTGCAGTATGGGATGAGGTTACAGGTCAGTGCATGAATGGAATATGGAAGAAGGTCCTGAAAAGATATGTGAACAGTTTCAAAGGATTTAATGAAGATGAAGCAATTTCTGTGATTAGTAACAAGATAGTGGAGTTGGGTAAACAGCTGGAGTTAGAAATTGATAATGAAGATGTTGAGCAGTTGGTTGAAAGTGTAGCAGAAGAGCTAAGTAACGAGGATCTTATTGAACTGGATGCACAGAAAATTGCAGAGGAAGAAGAGAGACAAAATGTAGAGAAGAACCTGCACCCCCAAAATATTTTCAGTGAAACAAATGGCAGAGGCATTGGCTACTATTAATAAGGGGATGCAAATGTTTGACAAAATGGATCAAAATGTTGAGCGTTTTGCAAAAGTTGACAGAATGATCCAAGATGCACTTGCTTGCTACAGAGAGATTTACAATGAAAAGAAAAGGCAAACTGTGTCGTCTAAATTGGACATATATTTTAAGAAGTCTCCCCCACTGCTGTCTCCTCACGCCCCACCACTGCTGCCTCTTCACTCCCTAAAGATGATCCAATACCTTCAACAAGCATGTTAGCCAGTCTGAAGAAAGCAAAATTGATGACCCACCCAGCCCTGTCTCCTCCTCTGCTTCATCCAATTAATGTAGTCTCCATGTTTAATTAAAAAACTATTGAGGCCCGGTGTGCATTCAGCTGACTACATTAAAGGTAAGTGCACAGTAACACTTTATTCATTTTTCATTATTGATTACTTTTACTGTACCGTATTTCTTTTTAGAATTTCTATGTATTATTTTTGCATTTTTGACTTACGACCTGGTCGTCGGTCCCTAACCCCGTCGTAAGTCGGGGACTGACTGTATATATAAACAATTACAGATGAAAGTAACAGATAAAATTAGTTTATAGTTTATGAGGAGGACAAAGTGGGAGAAAAATCTAAAGGAGATATTATTTGTTTGTCAAGGTATCAGTTCTTCAAACTCTAGAATTAAATCTTTACTCCCAAATGATGATGGTGATGAACTGGAGTCTTCAAGTTTAAAGTGTTAATGATGAACAGGAACCTTTACCTGGCCTTTGGATCTCTGGTCATTTTCCCGTAGCCACTGGAGGTAACTCTCGTGGGCAACTTGTTCTTCTATGGCTTCACTTGTGGCTTCATAGTCTGTAGCTCTGATCTTGTCCTCCAACATCGCCTGACAGTAAAATTTCACATTGTAACTTCAGGCAAGATTAGATTTAAAAAAAGAAAAGAAGAAAGAAAAAAATTATTGTAAACACGACACCATATTTAATATAATCATATGTAATAATGTCAAATTAACATAAGGAAATTAGTGATCATTAGTGATATGAGAACTACACAAATTTTCCCTCTTCAAGATATTTTTATATCTGCACAACTCCATTTACTTCAATGCACAATAGATATGTCTGAGAAACCCCTTCCATTTACCTACTACATATACAGGTGGCCTTTGCTTTACAAATGTTCAAGGTACAAATTTCCTAAATTAACATCTCTTTCTTATTTAACGGAAGCTACCCTTACTTAAAAGAATTTTGGTCCAAGCAAAAATTCATATCACATATTCTTGCTTGCTGTGTTAGCTCTGTTATGGTTATTTTTCAACTCATAATTTCTTAATAATGATAGATAAAATCACACAGGGAAAAAGGAAAACAATGGAGCACCTTAGCCTTTGTCTTTATTCAAGACATCTTCAGAAGCAACTGAATTACAAGGACTGAGAGAGGCTTAAGTACACAGGGTGACCTTACTAAACATGAGGTCAGGTCATAAACATGACATCCACTAATCCACACACCAACACCAACACAAACAAAAAAGGAGCTTAAAAAAAAGGGCGACGTAACTAGTCATGTTGAGTCAGGTAAAAAATATGGGACCCACTAATCATCTATCCTACATCTAACTCGAATGCTTTCAAAGCATTTTCAATCTTGGGCCTCTGACAAATAAATTTGTGTAACACATTATCACTAAGGTTTATAAAATTCAATTATATATATATATATATATATATATATATATATATATATATATATATATATATATATATATATATATATATATATATATATTATATATATATATATATATTATATATATATATATATATATTGATGTTCGCTAATGGAAAATGGGAACAACTCCACAGGTACTATGCAGTGAAACTAAAGTGAAACAAACAGAACATAGGATTAATTCCACAGAGACTGGCCCGACTCCTAAACCTAATTTTTGGACAAGGTTAATAAATTCATGTTGTAGTAAAAATATTATCTTAACTTTTATGATGGTATGCACACACACTTAATATAGAAGAGGTTAGGTTAGGAAAATAAAGGTTAGGGTTAGGGAAAACTAAAGGTTGGGTGTAACACTTACTTAGTAGAAGAGATGGGTCGGCATATGATGGAGGTTGGTTCCGAGGCAGAGGGGCAGATTACTGGCCCTCAGTGAATCAACATCACTATCCGCTATAGATCCTCAAAGTCACCTTCACTGTCACTAATACTGGTGGCTTGGCTGGCTGTGGTGGGGTTGCGGGCGAAGAACTCGGTAATGCTTTTTGACGGCTAGTGCTGATGTTGTCTTGATACACCTTGATGTACGGCCCTGCAGCCTGCACCAGCCGGGTATGGAAGACTTCATAGCCATCGCCATGGTCGCTGGAAAGGAAGAGCTGTACTTTCTGCGCCACTGGCGGCACCCTATTACTATGCGCAATTTGTGTTCTTCTGGGATTGACGACCACCTCCTCTTCACTGACGTTACTTCATCTTCCAACATCTCGCCGGCAGTCATTTCAGGATCTTCTGATCACCCAGGATGTCTTCGCAGGTCTCGGAGAAGCCTTCAGCTGTAATTACCAGCGCAGCTTCTTGCAAGGTCCAATGCCACTCGTCACAGACTGAACCTCACTGAGTCACAGGCTGACTCCGCCTTCTCACCTGTTATGCTGCAACACATGCCCAGCGCGGATCTAGTCTGTGAATTCATAGACAGCTGATCCTATGCTCTCCACCAAGCAAGTTCACAGCTTGTTTGGACGCAATTTCTTCCAAAACTGTTTGACAGAACTTCTTGAGTCACCACCTCCCAAGTTCCTTGTCCTCGCCGCTTACTCGGCTATTGGTGTCACCCAGCTTATGCACTCATCCTCAAAAGGGTACAGTCGTTCAGGAGCTTGAATTTTTGCCGAGAATGCAGCTTAACATTGCAGATCAACCCCTGGTCCATGGGCTGGATTAATGGACATAGTGTTGGGAGGAAGGAAGACCACTTTTATTGCTAGTGGACGATCCATAAGTAGGGCGAGTGTCCTGGGTAAGGCTGTCAAGGAGCAACAAAATCTTGAATGGAAATTTTTGCTCGCAGAATTTCTTCACGCCGAATGAAACAGTCACTAAACCAGGAGGACAGAGCAGAGAACATCCACACCTTGCTCATGTCCAATGTTCTTGTAGGCGCAAGTGCTTGCGGGCTGTGTGAATTCCACCGATAATCCTTTGGTTTACAGGTACCGAGGCATTGGTGGTAAAGAGGACGGTGATGCGCCTTCTGCAATCTTCCGACCAAACTGCTGGCAGATCAACAAAGGTCTTGGTAGGCAGCTTTTTTCCAACAGGCCGGATTCGGCCCATGTTGAACACCTGCCGCCAGTGTACTGCCCTTCCTCCATAACCTCATCGTGAAGAACGGGAGGGAAAATCTGTCAGCCACACGGTCAGCACTCGCCTCATCACCACCTGGCCGTTGATGTTAAGATATTAGTTCTCTTTCAAACCGGTGCAGCCAAATCCAGAGGAAGCATTGAAGGGTTTGGGCTCTGCAATCTCCCATCTTACGCGGACACTGCTGGGCAAGTACAGTTCACGTATGCATTTGAACGGATCGCGCGGTCCACCGCCATGTTGGCGTCGCTACTACCGCAATCAAGTAACTCACCAGCAAAATTTTTCTCCAATCTTTTAGCAGCACCTTGTTCTGGCAATATTGATCATTGAAGCACCTGCAGACTTTTGTGATTCCCTATGTGCTTTTTGGATCTTGGCTGCATCCTTTCTATTGTTACCTAATCAGAGATTCGCGACTCCATGTTATGCGCGGATCGGTATTGACGTGGTTCCTTTTCCAACGCGAATTATGTTATTTCACTGTAGCTTAGGGAACGCCGTATCTCTTTGGCTTAGGCTGCTGGGTCCAGGTGCGAAAGGTTTCCTCTCTGGTGGCGTGAATGTCCGGGCGGAAGCCATTTCACAGAACAATGGATGCACGATACACTGTGTGGCCTGGAGGGATGAAACTGTCATGCCAGGTCAAGCGCCAAGCCGTTTTCTCCCTCCTCTCTCCGGTGGACACGCTATATTACTTTAAACCACTACAGCTAGCAGCGGAGGAGGTAGGGCGCGCGGCTAATCACAGTCCGACACGCTATGACGCCAGTGAGCACGCAACAGGAAGCGCACTGCGCAAACTACTGCTGGCTGCAGCTGGCCAGGCGGAGGCGAGGAGGGGAGGAGGGCGGAGCAGGCGGTGGGGCGACCTAAAATAGCTGCCGGAAGCCGACACTCTGGGCGCTGCGATGGCGGCAGATGAAACCCAGAAAGTGAAAGTTCGGTTCTCGGCGAGGCACGCATAAATGAGAAAACGCGAAAGTAAAACCGCAGAAAGCGGGTAATACTGTGGTGTGTGTATGCTATGTGTGTGTGTGTGTAGTATATATATATATATATATATATATATATATATATATATATATATATATATATATATACAGTCATGCACGTTAACGTCAAACCGAACAACGTCCGATCATATACGCCCGTGTCCCCCCAAAAACACTTCCGGACGCCTGCTGGACCACCACCTCCCACCCCCTGGCGGAGACACATGATCCTTCCCATACTGGCCAGATATTATGTGTTAAAGGAATATCTTTCCTTCCTTAGGCTTTAGTAAGCATTTGCCTCCAGGTGTAATGTTAACCTACATCTATTGAGGATAAAATCTTTCACCTACAAATTGAATAACAACATTTGCTGTAATCAGAGCATACCTAGTTACCTCAACAATTGCAACCCTAGTTGCAATTGGGGTTACATCAAACTGTGTCATTACTAAGGAATAACGAAATCTTTGGTGCACTCTAAGATTGAGAGAAAACGGAGGACTCAGGCATCCTGAAGCGAGAGAAAACGGACTCCTATGATTGGGGACACAAGCACTCACACAAGCACTCATACTGACAGACTTGACACTCACTTACTTGACAAGTTTTACCAACCATTAGTTGTGTACGTTATCTAGTAAATTTAGTCAATATTGTACAGTACAAGTACACTGCAATACAGTGGTCCCTCGGTTAACAATGGACCTAAGTGCAAACCTGTACTGAACATGTACTAAATGGTTATGGTAGTAAAATTGTTATGTTTATTGCAAATATAGCTTGTTTATACAGGTATTCAAATAAATCACTATCTTACAAGAATCCCAGTAATGTAAGTTATTTTCATCCAGGTTGTTTGGGTGTGATTATGAAAACTTAGTCACTCTTAAGGAATGATAAATAAACACGCAGGTAGCGCCAACTGTCAAAATCATATCGCCTCTCCGCTCCCTCCTCTTCCACAGCTCCCTCACATTGGGGTTTTAATATAAAGTTTTCATATAATATCTCAGACTATGGAGAATATAATTTGCATAATTTGAATATAAGCGTCATATTTTGCTCAAGAGATAAAATTGTAGTACATTAGTGTTACATTTTATATATAAGTTTCTCAACTGTATTTTGGGTGATTTATAAATTTCTTCATTATTTTCATCATTTACATGCACACACCATATTAAAAGCGTAAAAATAAATGACCTTAGTGCAAAGCTGAGATGCATATAATTTGATTAAGATACTAAAATTGTTGTCTGGTGCAAATTATAGCTTGTTTATATTTAAAATAATCACCATCTTACAAAATCCCAGCAATGTAATTATATTCACCCAGGTCATTTCACTGACTTTATAAGAAAACTTAGTCCTTAAGAACTGATAAATAAACGCATTGGACCTTGGGCGTTACCTTTGTCCAATGTACCACCTCACCTCCTCCCTCCCCCGCGGCTGCTCCTCCTCTCCCCCATCTGCCCAGCATTGCTGGAATCCTT